CCGTTCGCATCGCCTGTTTGACCAGCGGCTTTTTTCGTACGAGGTCGCACTAATTATACGCCTGTGAAAAAAATCGCTGAAGAAGATAAAAATGCGCCGATAAATTTACATTATAATCCCATTAAACGTCGCCGCTTCGGGGTGCAGCCGGTAGCTCGAAGAATGGCTGAAGATGGATCTTGGGGCACGGAGAGGCATTATTAATAGAGACGTCTCTTCCTTTTAGTTTGCGTCATCGAGTTAGAAACTTTCAGCGAGCACGGCGGGAGAGAAAGGGTCTTGAAAGGGACACGAGACGGGGACGTGATTCGGAGTAATTGAAATAATTTCTTTCGCGGAATTAACGGGCGTCAGTCGGATCGAAGATCTCGGGGAATAAAAGACGAGTGAGTTGAAAGGGCGGAGAATTAAAACAGAGGCGATGAAAGAACGAGGTTCCCGGGACGTGAAAGGTTCCCCGGAATCGAGTTTGCCCGGCCAGCCGCCGCCATTTTAGCTGCCGCTGCCAGCGGCGCGAGAAAATGGCGCCGGGAATCGGACGCGACTCTCGGAGCACGAGCCGCTGCTCTGAACTTTGTACTTTTATTATTACGCTGTAATAAATATTGGCTGGTGAACTATGGACGGGAATTCTTGCGTGCGTCTGTTCTACGTCATCGTGTTGCAAAGAGACGAGCGTGTTGCCGAGACCTTCATCGGTGTAAACAGGCCTTAATGAAAATCCGATCGCGGGTATATTTCAGGAAGACGCGCGGTCGAAGACTTTCGAACTTATGCTTGAGTTTCATAACTCGAGAAAATTTCCTGGTATAAGTTAAAATACCCTGTCTTGCTGTAGGAATTTTTCGCGGTGGGTTTCTCGTGGAAATTCGACGCTATTGGAAATTAATTCGACGAATTAGACTGGAAAATGCAAGATAGAACGTTCTAAGTTGGCGAGACAATATTATTTACTATTAATAGTCACGATATTTTATATCACAGGAATCCTTCGGAAAAAATTCAGTATTTTTCATAGATATTCTTCTTAATTACATATGGTGTAAGCTTATAACATTTTCAAACATGACGATTTAAACTTATTCGTTATAGGAAAAAATGCTTCAAACAAAGGTCATCGTTTTACCGAGATGTTAGAATCATCTTCAGTTTTTTAAATGCAATGTCTAATACTTTTTCTCAAATTCGGATAAATCATCGATCTTTGCACGAGAAAGTATTATAATATTTTTAATAATATAGTTAGTAATTCAATATAGTAACAATATAGAACTATAGTTAATAATATTTTTAATAATATAGTTAGTAATTCAATATAGTAACAATATAGAAATATAGTTAGTAATATTTTTAATAACATAGTTAGTAATTCAATATAGTTCAATATAGTAATTAATATAGTAATATTGTTAGTAATATTTTTAATAATATAGTTAGTAATTCAATACAGTTCAATATAGTAATTCACTGTAGTAATTAATATAGTAATATAGATAGTAATATTTTTAATAATATAAATGCGCATTGTCGCTCGTGGAAGCGTGGTGGGGGAAGCGCCTCGTCGCGCCCTTGAGGCAAGAAAACTTCGCGGCTAGCTATAGCCCAAGCTTTCACCGCGTGCATCTTCGATTTCTCTATTGTCTTCGACTTAGGTAACCGCAGTCTGTTCTTCCTGGAGCCGAGCTAATAAGCGTCCCAGGTTAATTTAATTAGCTGTCCAGACAGCGGTTATTCATAGGCGAGATCAAATCGCGGGAATCTCGCGTCGATAGCGATCTACAGGGGTCGGAAGTGCACCTCCTTCCATTCTTCTTGCCGATAAACAATACCCTTTTCTATTCAGCTCGACGTTATTCTCGGAGGCGAGAAACGTCGAAGGTTGTTTAATGCTGCACCAATCTTCCAAGTTTCCTCTGGGCGATCGGAAACACGACGGACTTCGTTAATTGCTCGATCATTCGGAATTATTAATTTGTAGACACGTCTATCTCCTTTCTCGTGCTTTCCTTTACGTTACTCTATCTCGTCTACCAACTTGTCCATTAATTACCGTACACTACCCTCTTTCTTACGAGATCCTTAAATAGCTCGCTATATTAAACATGCATAAAGTATTCAACTCCATTTCTCGAATTTTGAAAAATTTCTGTTTCACAGTGCCCAACGAATCTTTAATTTTTAATAACTGGAATGTAATTCAGAACGTCTATTTTCTACTTCGTATAGTTAATTCGACGAACAAGTAACTCTCAAATTATTTATTTTAGAGGGAAAAAGGATCCCTAGGAAGGAAAGTTTCGATTTTAATTTTCAATTTCGTTTCAATTTGTATTACAGTGAATTTTCGTTTCGTTTATTGTCGAAGATCGCATGAATATCTTTTGAAAGACACGTTTCAGGCGCGTGCCTAATCCATTAATCGGTCAGAGGGTGGAAGGTGCCACAGGTATCGCAATTTGTTGGGAACTGAAGCACCGTACAGTTGCACGCGGGTAGAATTCATTGCCACGTGCCCCATTGGGATTTTACGAAATACACACAACGCCATAACACTTTTGCCCATACACGGGCCTCACCCTCGGTGAATAATGGTCAGGAAACGTATCAAACGCGACGATCGTTGACGATGACCCGCGAAACAGGTCAAATATCGCTGGAATCCACGCGAGGATCGCGTGGAACTTCGTTCCCAGCGTTTACCACGGATTCCGCTCTGTTTCGATGCTCGTAACATCTCGTTGCCCGATATTTGGCCAAATTTTAGGTCACTTTCTGCGCTACGAGCGAATAAGTAATTAAACGGTTATTAAATTCGGAGATGCTCCATTCGTTCTAATTATTGCAGCTATTTCGTAATGGAAGTTTTAGGATACTTGTGAACAAAGTCGTCAAAGTCATCGAGATGGATTGGCTACTTTAATTTCCACGTGTGAGAAATTCCTAGAATACGAGTATCTTTGTGTCGCTAATTCTTGGCAATTTAATTTCCATTTATGTTGCATGATATAATATTTATTTTACCACGAAGTTCGTATCAGTGGAGATAAATAGTGTCAGTGAATATGACAGGAATGACGAAGATTTTGCGAGTTGTGTCATAAAAGGAGCGTCACACTGCAAACTATTATTGTTATTTTTATCACACAATTTTCCAAATTTCCATGTAGACTTTGATATCAATAGAAGACCTAGTAATTCCAACAGTTATTTTATTTAGTAATTATTTTGCTTATTTACTTTATATTGTTAGTTGCTTTACTATTTCGACTGACGAAGATTTTATCAATCGAAAATTATTAAATTAATTTGAAACCTAGTTACTTTCCTAATTTATTTTATTTTGCTAGTTACTTTATTACTTCCACCAATGAGGATTTTATCAATCGAAAACCCAGTACTCTATTCATTTATTTTACTAAACAAATTATTAAATTATTTTCAAACCTAGTTACTTTCCTAATTTATTTTATTTTGCTAGTTACTTTATTACTTCCACCAATGAGGATTTTATCAATCGAAAACCCAGTACTCTATTCATTTATTTTACTAAACAAATTATTAAATTATTTTCAAACCTAGTTACTTTCCTAATTTATTTTATTTTGCTAGTTACTTTATTCCTTCCACCAATGAAGATTTTGTCACTCGAAAACCCAGTACTCTATTCATTTATTTTACTAAACAAATTATTAAATTATTTTCAAACCTAGTTACTTTCCTAATTTATTTTATTTTGCTAGTTACTTTATTACTTCCACCAATGA